TAAAGTTTAAAGTGGGAGTACAACCAAATTTTCCATGAGTCCATGCACAGGAAAAGGACTCGATCTGACGTGAGGAGAGCGTGGGAAGAGGAAAGTGGAGGAAGTTATCAGTTTTGTGAACAAGTTTGATTTAACATTGGACTTTTCAGTCGGAGGTTAGAACTCCCAAAGGTTGCAAGAACCAAAAACTTTGGCAATATCGATTTAACACTTGTCTTTCCTAGCCGCAAAAGTTTGCTCAAATCAAAAATTCAAATTTGAGCAGCGTTCACTTTCAGCCGTTACAAAGTTTACGCTTTTTTCCACATGAACTACACTCATATGATGACCGGGGAGGCGAAAGTAAAACTTTTTGTATCGTTAAAAGCGTAATTATCATTTTATTTTCATTGGGGAGATGAAATTTTGAAAAATTATTCATTATAAATATTCCAGTGCTTATTTTTTGCCCTAAATTTGGATAAGGAGAAGAAAATTTAATTATTTTTGTTAAAAGTTCAAATTAGTGTTTTTCAATTAATTTATTGCATGAAATGTTTAATTCAACAGAGTTAAGTATGACTTGTCTTTCCATTATTTTCGCATGTAATATGTATGTATTGTGAAATTTGTCCATAATTCACACTGTTGAGACTGACAGTGCAACTCTTAAAAGCAGGGTATTCCGACCTGGGTTTTAATGGGTTGGGTTTTATTGGGTTTTAATGGGTTTTAATGGGTTGTAAATGAATAAAACCCACTGGGTTTTACCATGTTAAGTGGGTTTTATTTGGGTTTTAATGGGTTTTATTGGGTTTTAATTGAGTTTTACCTTAAAACTAAATTCTAAAAGTTAAATACATCTCCTATACGTTAGAAGACGTTATCTCAATTCATTCTAAAGCAGTTTATTTCATTACTATTCTAGTATATTATAATTCGGAACAAATCAACAATTGACTCCATCCTTTAGCATCACAGAATTCAAGTGTTATAAAACAAAAATAATTTGAGAATAGATACAAATTCCGAATTATTTTTGTTAAGTTATTACTTAAAACTAATAAAACCCATTAAAACCCAAATAAAACCCAATTAACATGGTAAAACCCATTAAAACCCATGGGTTTTATAATTCTTGATTAAAACCCTGGGTTTTTCCGAACCCTGCTTAAAAGGTCAGCTCATGAAGTATACGATGTTTTTGGCTGCAGGGAACCAGCTATGCACTTCAATGGCTGTCATAAATGTGGCAAATGAGTATTTTATTTGACAGACAAGGGTCAAAAGATGTCGAGAGTCTGACTGTCTCCTTCGACCCACCCGGAGATTCTTTCTCCCCGATCCAACTCATTAAATCGACCTGCATGTCCTCCTCTCCAGCCGTGATAAGCTGACGTGACATGGCGTAACAAGACGCACGGTGGGCGAAAGACAATAGGAATTTGTAACTAGGATGACGATCGTGCAGCGTTCCCCTAACGACTAAAAGACCAGTCCACGAAATTTTTCAGCAATGCTGAGATCGGGGATTCGGAATTGCTAAACAATTTTAGCAATCTGACTCGGCAACCGCAACGACGATATAAGCGAGAACTGATATAATGCGACAGTGCACATAAATCCTCAAACTTATTGGAAACGAGCTGCCATTCACAGATAACGCATTATTGTACCTTCCATACATTGTCCTAACATTAATCTTCAATTACGTAAAGTTGATTAGCTCCTAGTAAGTAAGATTAGTGCCATGAGTTACGTATGGAAATGGCGCTTACATACGTATGGATGAGCTTAAATTAAATCTCGGAGCAGAGCCTTCAATACATTTTGTATGTTGAATACTCTAGAATTGTCGAGGAAAGGTGAATAAGTAGGTTTTAAAACTGGGAAAGGAATAAAACTGTGTTGGAATGGAAACGCTGGTTATTTTCCTCGTGGGAATGTTTATTACATGAAAGTCAGTGACAAAGGAGAGTTTTATAATCACGTCTAAAACTTTTAGTATTTCGTAAAAATTACGACCGTGTGTTACAAATTACGCATTTCATTCACTTTCTCGCCCCTGGTGGACTGTGCAATATAACTTCAACGTTGATCATAATAATCTCCCTACGACACGCGTCAGCCTGGTCTTGGTTTCACTTTGTCTATTCTGGTGGAGAAAGTTATGAAGCCCAATAGGACGTTGTCCTCCACTACAAACCGGCAGTTCGTGACGTTCATAATTTTGAATGCACTTCATGTGCACAAATATCTTACAGAAGCTTTCCATTATCTATTTTAACTAAACTCATTAATCTCTTCGTCATCCCTGCATGTCGCACACACATCTTGTGTTGATACGGTGTGGAGCCTTGTCGTGGGAGAGCCTACCCGCAGGAGTGAGGAGTGCGTCGCCGTTCATGATATGCGAGCATGGGCAGCCATCCATGGAGGGAATGACACCAACTCCCTGAAATTAACGAGTTTTGCTTTAATTATTAGTACAACGAACCACTTGGCTTGGTATCTTCTTGTGGATGCTTGATTCAGCTTTTCCCTGGATCATCACAGAGCTGATGTTGGTGGGCTTGTAATTTTATGAATTTCATGCAAACACTAATTCAAACTTGTGCTCATCTCATCACTTCTCGCAATGCCATCTGATGCTCGGAGAAAGGCTGTGGGAAAGAGTGCCAGGCAGGCAGCTAGCCAGCCAGCAGCGATGAATGCAATGCACCACTTCTGCCTGAGAAAGTTTGCAGCGTGCCTCCATGTTTTATGTATGACGAAATGAAGTTTTGTATGAATAGTGAGATTCGTTGTCTCTGTTGTGCTCTCACTTTTAATAATATGAGAGCACAAGCAGCGGAACTGGAATCTCTCAAGTTGAGGGTGGGTGGGATCATGGCATGTAGCCGTATGTGCATGTAAGCACAATGTTATGTACATATGTACGATGGTAGCTTCTCCGCTCCACCATACATAGAACAGAATGTGTCCACTATTCGGAATGATGTTGATGTTGATGATGACTTCACTTTACCGATTACATGCATCGTTTGTTTCGTAACTTCCATCCATTACCCACCCTCCCAGAGAGGAGTTGTTCAAGCCAAAATTCCAGTTGCATTCGATCCTACCCTTTCCACAGAGAAAGTGAATGCTCTGAGCATTTTTTTGAATGGATCAATGTCACAAACGAGTATGTAGCTGTTCAGGCTGCGGCATGCATACCTCATTCGTGAAATGAAACCAGGCAGAAATTGCTGGCTTAGAATAATTATGACCTGAAGTGATTTTTTTTTACAAAGTATTACTTTTCAAAGCAAATTTTTTCACTCTGTATGTATCTTTATATCTTTAACTTTGCGACTACAGTAATGCATACATTAATATGCTAAGTGGCATATATTTTTCTGATTAAATCCAAGAAACTGTATGGGAACTGTAGTTACGTGAGTTAGAGTACTTACAACTCAAAATTGGTTAAGATGAGAGAGAGAGGAAACTATATATGAGTTTCGTAACTAAATGGGTCTACGAAACAATGCTACCGTTATGAAAGAATGGCACAGATATTTGTAGAGAGAATCGCCGAGTATATCTTCTCAAATGCCTTGAAAATCAGCTTTATTTGTGTAACAGCGATGGAAATGGAAAGAATCACATTTAATGCATCGTAATTTAATATTTAAACAATGTGACTACGGTAACTGTTCTGTTGAGGCGTTTGTGTCAATTATTTCTCATATACTTTTCAGCAAGAAGACCTGGAAATGACTCAATGTTGATTGTATGGTTCTCATGTTACTACATTCTCATGTATGGTTTACATCGGTTCGATAGTCGCCCTTTCCTTCCTGTGACTGCATTTCTTGTATCTTTTCTGTAAAATGGGAAGAGCCAGCCCACGCAGGTCTTGTTAAATTTTGGTCAAGACCTTTCTGCTCAACTTTTTCCGGATGGCCTATGTATATGTATATGGCATCTTTTTGGCCCGTTTCTTGCCATTCCCATTCCACAATTTGCTCATTCGATGTCGTAATTCAAGGTGCTCATTTGATTGGAAAATTGGGAATGGGATACGTTTCATGAATTCAAAGTGGTTGATTTCGCACTAAACTGTTTCACTTGTTTCTTCTTGAAACCAGACCATCTACACATTCAGTATTTATTGAATCTCTGAGTTTACCCAAACCCAACGGACAAGTCGGTGTGCGTATTTGGAGCCACAACTTTTTCCAAGAAATAAAGGGAGGCTATTAAAGTCGTAAATAGAATTGTAGTTTATGATAAAAACAGCCAGAATGCTGCGAATAAGCATTTTATAAGGGATTTAAACATTTCCCGCGTTAATCTGTATTTCTAATTCAACTACTTACGATTAGTTTATTCAACTTCCGCTATCAATATTTATTTATGTAGTTTAGGTAAACTATGTACAAGCATTCTTCGTGCTAAGTAATTGTATTCTGTGTAATTTACTTATACTGCTAAGTTTTCTGACCTAATAATTATGAGATTATAACGCTGGATACAGTTCACAATAGTGTTTCACTTTCTTGTAGTTTATCACTAACTAAAAAACTAATAAAACATGATAATGTAGATTCACTGTACATGTGAATATAGGAATGTGCATATTTCCTTACTTGGGATGAACGTACATGTAACCTCATTTCATATTCAAGGGGAAAGGTGTAGTTAACTTTGTACGTGTTTTGTTTATCTCGAAATGTTTCTTATTCGTAGTTTTGAAGCTAAAATGAAAAGGGGAGAAATATCATACTTCATGCAATGCTAGGTTGTAAAATAAAGTCATATAAAAAAAGTATGGGTATCGATCTGTACATCCAAGTATTACTAAATTTAGCTTCACCATGAAACTTTCGTAGGAGTGATGGGATCTTAAGATAAGAAATCATCGAATGTATGCATGTCATGATAAATTGTAGTATGCTAAAAAAACGAATATATAGGTCATGCATATCAAGATTATGCAAGTATCGTAACAAAATTTGTCTTGTAACTTGCAGTTGTCGTGGGTGCGTCATAGAGATATCCACTTGCTTACAGTTGGTGAGTTATTTCACAATTTTCTTATATTTTCTAAACCACTCATACCGCTCGGAGGAAATAGCCATGGTCAAAGTCGATGTTTTTTTATGAATGCTTAATTTGTTGGTACCAAATTCAATTTATAAATCACAAAATGAATTCCAATGTCTTCACCGGATGTTAAAATCATCTTGCTTCCAATTGTAGTATACAATTTGCTTTTACATAATATTGGACACGCTAAAATGAAGTTTCCTTCATAGGACGTTACACTTACACTACGGACCAACGATTTCGTTCCATTCACACGCCGCACACCGATGAATGGACATTACAAATTAGATATCCCCAGGTAAGTCAATACAGAAATATATCAAGAATAAATCAAATCAGTTGGTATATGAAGGCTCTGCATTGAAGCCCTGTTAAAAGCTATGTAAATTTGTTAGTAAATAAGTACATAAACTGAAGAATAATGTGTTTTTTCCTCATCTAGCTACGGGACAAAGGGATTTACGAATGTCAGGTATAATTAATTTTATTATCTTTCATGAAATTATCACTTTTCCAAAACAGAAACTGTTAAGACTTTTTAGCGTGTTTCTTTAATTAAGTATGTTCGTTTTACACATTGCGTACTAATTTTCGCATCAATAAAAATGCGCTTTCACTATGCTAACTATAACGCGATTCTTAAAATTGGTTGTAAGTTTTAAAATTCTCATTCTTTGTTGACTTGTTGCTTGACAGCAAAGATGTATGATGGAATTTTTATTTACAAAAATTCTTTCATATTGAGAACCAATTTTTTTATTGGTGCAAAAATTAGGGACAACCAAACTCTAATGATGGTCAAATTAAATTCTGAAGTCTCTTTTTTTCGATATTTCGTATAGTTTGAGCAAAACTTTTATATATTTTCAAGTGTAAGTGTAAAATTTTGTATTATGTATGTGATAATTTGTTTTCATTGCCAAGGTATCTGCAACGCCTACCCAGAGACATTTTATTCACCTCACTGTTGTCGGTAAGTCTTGCATTTATTTTTACTTCATCCAAGTCTTAAAATCGAGCATATAAGTTTTGTTTCTCAATACGTGACGCAAACTAGCACTTATAAGTTTATAAAAGAATACGTACTTTCTAAAACGCTTACTAAAAATGAGTTGCATAAGCAGTGCATTTGTTCATATGAAGAGGTTGGGTTGGGTTCAATCCAGTGCAACACAATACAAACTTTCGGTACATTTTTCATTCAATCTGAGAAATATGCTGTTCATAAAATCCTATGCTTCTGAATGAGTTGATAACATGAGGATAATTTCATATACCTATCGAGCGAAACAAAAAATGGCCCTTTATTTAGTTAAATCCATTCATTGTGGGAAACTTGAATAGCTCAAAACTGCTACACAGTTGCAATTATTGCTTTGTTGAGAGAACAGACTTGTGCCATAGTGGTTGCATTACACCATTCAAAGCATCAAGCACAACAGTGTCTGTCACTTGTTCCGATTACATTATGTATAACGACATGGTTGTCTAACTGATGTGAATGTGTCATGAATGGAGCTAAATACATACATAAACATTAAATCAACGCATTGGATTGGATTTATGGCCAAATAAACACCCAACTAAACCTAATGCACCAAACGGAATCTGCTTTCCTACTAGTTACACAATAGGAGCGCACCAATCTCTTGTACCGTGTAGCTAAACGTATTGTACAGATTTTGTATAATCACACAAATCCAAAGTATTTCATTACACCAGAAATGTATGTTTGTTACTAAATTTCCAACATACTTAATTTCAAGATTTTATGGTCGATGGCAAATCAATAGCTAAAATTACTATCTTTATATTCTCAAACATTCTCAGTTTTGGAAGTTGTATGTCGTCTGGAAATTGAGATTACCTACTTGTTTTATGCATATGTAAAAGAGCAAATGTGAGAATTTCCACTCTGCGAAAACAGTGGAACCATGAGAGGCAGTGAAAGTGTGTCAAAGTCAAACCTGCCTGTAACTCACCAAAGTAAGAGTACCCCGGTCATTTTTGTCCAAACAAGTTTGTAACTGTAAGGAAAATACCAAGGACCTTAAATATAACATGGCAGCTCTCTGGTATAAATATCTACTTATACACGTACATGGTTCCTTTCTTCATTCACTAATCGCGGCCTCCTAATTCTGGAGAAACTCCAGGGCTTCACTTCTGAAGGGTAGAAAGCCCATGTTTTTTTTGGTACATACATCGCGTGACAAAGTTCAATTATCATAATTTTCTCACAGAGGTGGTCTCCTCACTCGAAAACGGCAGCAAATTCACGCAATGCCACACCAGAATGCTGCAGTTGAAATGAAACTATGTGGTGTTGTGGTATGTTAGCATTCTCTGAATATATATCGAAATTGATTTGTCCGTTGATTTTTATTGTCTGTCTGTTTTATTCCAATTTGTTCTCGGCGAGAAATAATCTCCGCGCTGTCATCACGATGGATTAGCCTGACTCGCTTTCTCCATGGCATGACTCGCTTTCACTCTTTATCTTTCCTTTAAAAATAACTCAGTCGAAATATTTATTTATTTCAACCCAAACCGTTTGTGCTGCTGAATTACATATTCATTTGAGTGTATTAATTTATGTACATATGTCAACATACATTTATACTTTCTCTCATGATCCACAGATGAAAAATAACAGATGTATAAAGTGCAAAATAAAAGTGCTCGTATAAACGATTACTACTAAATATTAGGCTACAGGGCATAATTCTTACAATCACTAAAGTTTGGCAGTCAAGGTCAACGGATAATAAATAACGGAGTCAAGTTTTACTCGAGTGGAAGTGAAATGTTGTTGTGGAGCGTGGTTTATTTATGCGAATAGTATGAAACAGAGTCAGGTATGCAGATGGGGAGATGGGCATTAAGAGCACTACATGGTTCAATAGGGATTACTTGTAAAATATTCACGGCACTACCCAATTCATAACTGAATGTGGTGGCATCCCCACCACCGCCACCACCACACCACGTGTGCCTCTCATATCTCCTGCTCATCATCAGAATGATTCCCACGTTCGGCATAATTCTTTGCTTTCACCCAGTTTCTTCTCCTGCCGGCTCCTGCTCACCGATGGATGATGGCTCATGAAGGAAGTCATCCGCGTCCCTGCAATTTGTTTACTGCTCCTCGTGGTTTACAAGAGTGACAAGAAACCAAGAAGTGAGTAAATTTGAGGAGAGAAGTTAAGCTGTAAACCCCATCCATGTATAAATAAAGTAAAGATGGATCTCCAGAGAGGAAAGAGGCTTAGACACGGAATTAGAATAAACTTGTTTCGGAAGACAAGACAGACAAGTTATTTACGGATGGATGGTTGTGCACTAAACCAAACCGTGCTTGGTTTAAGGGGAGAAAAGGCAGCAGCAGCACAGTAGGACCTCACTGCTTACGACGACTACTTACTGCTCGGGTTGAGCTGCGAGTGCTACTGGATGTAAATGTGGATCATAAAGTAGTCAAAAGGGAGGATGTATTAAGCCATGAATCGTAGGAAAACATAACACAACATTCACTCCCTCCATAATATTCCAGACCAACAACAACAAAATTTAATGCAGTGGTGGAGCAGCAATTTGGTTGTTTTCACAAAGGTCAATTGTGTAATGTCAAATGAAGAACATAAATCTTAAACCGCATCTTTTTTCACCCCTTTTTTATCGGAGATCATTTCTTGCCTAATTCTGCAGCTAAATTTCCTGGTGCAATTCAAGTGGAACAGGATACTTATTTCAACGTTTAAAAGTTTTCTCTTTTTCCTTGGAATTATGAGCATCGAAAAGAAAGTTGATCAAATCGCAAGTATTCTTTGTATCATGTTTCAGATTATTTTTTCAGGGATACCTTTATTTAATATTTGACAAAGACTAAATTCATTTTGAATAATCCTTCAACAGTCCGTGCACTTTTTTTTACCTTTATTAGTATTAGAATTGCGTAAAGTTACGCTTTGCTCATGGATCTGGGTAATAATCAGGCCGTTGATATATTTACGTCGTTCACGACCATGTCATGCTGTGGTGATCCGCTGACGAGAAATGACATGACGAGGATTGACAAACACAGGAGATTAAATGAAAAATCCGGAAGTAAGGTTTCCTGCATGAGGAGAGAGACAGAGTTAGTTCCATTCAAAGCATGCTCCCGGTTTAATCTTCCTGACTCTTTCTGCCGGATTCAGTTATTTTCAATTTGACAGGAAATTCCGCCTTATAGGCCGTGATATGGATATGCATTCAGTTTTCATTGGCTTTGCCACATTTACGATATGTGTATGTACGGAAACATACATATATGCAACATCATTGTACATCAAATTATTTTCTTGTGGGGATTGATCAACCCGCGCATGCAGAAAGCATGTTCATTGTTTCATTACATTAGGAACATACAATTAGCCGGAATGGGCAATGTTTTACTTTCTCTTTTAGAACAAACTGCCAAGGGCTTTTTTGCGAATCAGTTTTAATTGTCAGTAATCCCTGAATCAGACGAGTCCGAATCACTGAATTTCCTCCTCATCTTTATTCTTGCCATTCCACTTTAATTGGCAATAAAGCTTGTGTAAATAGTGCAGAAACAAATGAGAAAGGACTCGGAATAACTAGGTGCAGATGAGTGTGTGCGATCCGTCCTTTCATTAATTGGGGAAGAGAGTGCGAGTAAGATTGGGCTTGATTCCCATTAAATTTTACAACGTCATGTAGTTCTGATGGAAGCGAGAGAGTGAGTGTTAAATAAACTGTCGTCTCGCTGACATGTCTTCCACCAGATTGGAGCCGGATAAATTGGATTGCGTATGATGCAACATAAATAAAATAATGTCATTACTTGTAGTGACTTTCTCCCGTTATGCAGCCTCTCCTCACTCCACTTGCGCATTGTCTCCAATGAGGTGTTGGTCTATATTACAGCACAAGTCAGTGGCCCAAAACCCAGCGCTAATGCCATGTCTGGCCTGCTTGTTTGTACTACGACTACATTTGCTGTATTCATCCGAAATACAGCACTACTCCTGATTTGTGTCATGTCATCATAATTCCAACCAGTGGATATATAACTCGGCGAGTAATCCAAATCCCTACCTCTTGGCCAACTTTCTATTGCTGAGTTGCATATATTTGCATGTGTTTGAATATTCAATATTGGATTAAATTGAGAAAGCCTACTTCAGAGTCACTCTCAGGATTAAATATTGAATCGGCTCGTCAATATTATTAATTCCACGACAGCGAATTTACAGGTGTTTTCACCTGATACGACAAAACCTCCTAAGATATTTGAGAGTTATTACTTAAGCTATACTTGCAGTTAGAGCTACATTACTTAATGTCTGTGTAAATGGGATGAGCTACCCGTTGAGTTCTGAATGAGAGGGGATTTATCACTAGGCACAAAGGTCAAAGTTCTGCAGTTTCCCAAACGAGGAGAGGGAGAGTTGTTCTGAATTATTAAAGATGCGACGTGTTGGGGCTTTTTATTGTGTAGTTGAGGAGAGGTGTTGTCTCATTCATTCCATCCATCATGGGACTGCTTGACATTGTAACGTACCTCCAGTTTTGTATAAATATGCACGTCAACGCCACGGAACACTGTGTGTATGTAGCCATTCTCATGATTTGACTCATCATCACCTTCTCTCTTGCTGACAGAATAAGGATAAGTTACGTGTGTACGGTACGTGGAAGCACTTTGCTGGAGCCAGAGGGCTTGAGACGACTGGATGGAAATTGGCACACATTTATATAATTCTGCTTCATCGCCATTTTCACTCTTCAGCAAATTTGCCAGTATCATGTCCTGAAGGCGTGGAAAGGGGCTCAACATTTTACTTAAGTAATTTCAGCTCGTTTACCATTTCTCATTCAGTCAAATCTTGTCATAAACAACTTAGTGCGATAATGATATTTGATCCTTCTGTTCCACTCAGAATGCCATTCTCTCAACTCAACAAC